TAAGGGCGGGCGAGTGGCTCATGCCTGTAATCCTAGCACTCTAGGAGGCTGAGGTGGGCAGATTGCTCAAGGTCAGGAGTTGAAACCAACCTGAGCAAGAGCGAGACCTGTCTCTACTTAAAATAGAAGAGAATAATGGACAACTAAAATATATAGAAAAAAGTAGCCGGGCATGGTGGCGCATGCCTGTATCCCAGCTACTCGGGAGGCTAAGGCAGTAGGATTGCTTGAGCCCTGGAGTTTGAGATTGCTGTTTGAGGTAGAGTTAGGCTGACGCATGGGCAACAAAGTGAGACTCCGTCTCTAAATAAATAAATAAATTTTATATTCCTGCTAACAACCAGCCTTGTAATATAGATCCTAAATATAATTTCAAGGCCTAATCACAAAAAATAAATAAATAAAATTTATATTCCTGCTAACAACCAGCCTTGTAATATAGATCCTAATGTAATTTTCAAGGCCTAATCACATTTATTTAAAGCATTCAATGACAATAACAAAAAAGAATGGACAGTTTCCTGGAGTTTATAAAAAAGAATCAGACCCTTATTTTATTATCTGCAAGTAAATGGATTAGGGGGAATCAAGAGTGATGATGTCAAAAGATATCGGGTCACACTGTTGCTTATCCATCAGCATCTATGTTATAATGTAAATCTCATTTGGTATTGAATAAATGAGGCCCTGCCAACTAAATGTTTCTAGCTAGTCCTATGATTTTGATTAGAAGTGTTTGAAGGTATAACTTGTCTTTGCTGTGCTTGGGTATATTTTTAACTTAATTTTCAAAAGAAATAATAGCCGGGCGCTGTGGCTCCACGCTGTAATCCTCTACTTTGGGAGGCCGAGTGCGGCGGTTGTCAAGGTTCGAGTTCAAAAACAGCCTGAGCAAGAGCGAGACCCGTCATCTACTATAAATAGAAAGATAATCATTGGCCAACTGATATATATTAAAAAAAATTAGCCGGCAGGGTGGTGCCATGCCTGTAGTCCCAGCTCCCAGGGAGGCTTGAGGCAGAAGGACGCTTCGAGCCAGGAGTTTGGGTTGCTGTGGCTAGCGCTGATTCGCCAGGCACTCACTCACTGGCAACAAGCGAGACTCTGTCTCAAAAAAAAAAAAAAAAAAAAAAAAAAAAGAAAATAACTGGGGGTGATTAAACTTGAAAACACTTATTTTCTCACATATTTAAGAAATCAAATCTGGCTGGTTGGTGGCTCATGCCTATATCCTAGCACTTTGGGAGGCTAAGGCTGGAGGATTGCTTGAGGTTAGGAGTTGAGACCAAGCCTGAGCAAGAGCATACCCTTCTCTACACGAAATGAGAAAAATAGCCTGGCATGGGATGCATGCACCTGTTGTCCCAGCTACTCAGGAAGCTTAGGCAGGGAGGATTGCTTGAGCCCAAGAGTTTGAGGTTACAGTAGTCTACAGGTGATACCACTGCACTCTACCTACCTTGGAGACAGAGCCAAGACCCTGTCTCAAAAATAATAATAATATAAAATCAAGGTCTATTTTAAAACTTATTTCTCTTCCTTTGCTTTAACCTCTATAACAGTTGGAATTTTGTCATTTATTCTGTATCTTGTATAGATTCCTTCTTAATTTGCAGTTTGCTGGTGGGGATTTCTCATAGATTCAGAGAGATTAGTGATCGCTACGTGTGCTTTTTCAAGGGAGCTGATATAAAGAACTTCTTCCCAAAATGGGTATGTGTTATGATTTTTTTTTTTGCTTTTTTAGAGTAGAAAGAACAGCAATAGATAAATAAGACGGAAGGAGCAAGAAGTACATCTTTTTTTTTTCCCTTTTATTTTAGTTGACATGCTAATAATTGTACATTTTATGGGATACAGAGTGATATTTCAAATGTGTATACAATGTATAATAAATCAGGTAATTAGCATATGCATCACCTCAAATATTAATCCTTTCTTTGTGTTGTGAACATTAAAATCCTCTTTAAGCTTTTGAAAAACATACAATAAATTATAGTTAACCATATTCACCCTAAAGTACGCAGAACACCGCAACTCATTCCTCCTATCTAGCTATAATTTTGTATCCATTACCAACTTCATCTCTTATTTATTTATTTAATTTTAGCGTATTATGGGGTAAAAGTGTTAAGGTTACGTATATTGCCCATGAATTTATTTTACACGATGACTTGGATATTGCTTTCTTAGCTCATGTAGGACAGAGACTACATAAAAAAGACAATTGTAAGTAACTTTGATTCTGCTGCTGAGTGAATCATTAGATTTTTGATTCTTTATATTAATTCACCTCTTTGACTTCAGGAGTTATTAGTTGGATTAAATTAATTAATATTTGTAACTTAAGTCCTTAAAACAATGCATGGTTCAGCTGGGCGCAGTGGCTCATGCCTGTAATCCTAGCACTCTGGGAGGCCTAGGCGGGCGGATCCTTTGAGCTCAGGAGTTCGAGACCAGCCTGAACAAGAATGAGACCCCATCTCTACTAAAAATAGAAAGAAAGTAATTAGCCAACTAAAAATATATAAAGAACTAGCCGGGCATGGTGGTGCATGCCTGTAGTCCCAGCTACTCGGGAGACTGAGGCAGGAGGATTGCTTGAGCCCAGGAGTCTGAGGTTGCAGTGAGCGAGGCTGACACCATGGCACTCTAGCCTGGGCAATCAAGTGAGACTCTGTCTCAAAAACAAACAAACAAACAAACAACAACAACAAAAAAAACAGTGCATGGTTCATAGTAAGTGCTATACAAGTATTTATTAAATGAACATATAAAAATACATTTAAAGGTAGAGGTATAAAAAAAAAGGTAGAGGTACAATTTCACATTTTAACTTGCAAACCACTTTACAGACTATTTTGCATGTGATACGGACTCAATTTATCTGTTAATTACTCTAACATTCAACTATATCTTCCAGGCTCTATGTGATACCTAAGTAATTTTCTATGTAAATATAAACGCAGCTCAGTGCTCACACTTGATTTACCTGGAGGAGCAGTCATATTTAAAAAGTGCTACTGTACTACTGAAACAATTGGCAAGGACCTCCAATACACACCCATAATAGAAGCTGGCAAATTCTACACCACTGTCACAGGACTTCCCACTGGTATCATTTTCAGTGTACACTGGAATCTTTTTTTTTTTTTTAAGACAAAATCTCACTTTGTCACTCAGGATGGAGTGCAGTGGTGTGATCATAGCTCACTGTAACCCCAAACTCGTGGGCTCAAGTGATCCTCCCACTTCAGCCTTCTGAATAGCTGGGACTATAGGTACATGTCACTATGCCCAGCTAATTCTCTTTGTAGAGACAGGGTCTTGCTATGTTGCCCAGGCTGGTCTCAAACTTGTGGGTTCAAGTGATCCTCCTGTCCTGGCCTCCCAAAGTGCTGGACTTATAGTCACAAGCCACTATATGTACATCGCTATGAGCTGAAATCTTAAGCATATTCATATTTGGACATGTGCAATGTCAGAATTAAATACCTAATTATTTGCAGAAATAGGCATCTGTTCTTTCTACTTACCACATTACCTCCTCATTAAGTTATTTTCTTTTCACTTATCCCAATAATATAATAGATCTTAAGTGTGGTCTACAGATCCTCTCTTTAAGTCAAGATAGGAAGCTTCTTTGGTATAAAATATTTCAAATATGTAAAAATGTACAGATAATTCTCACCGTAGCTTAAAAAATTTCACTTCCCAGGAAGAAAAATTCGACAACAAAGTTCTAAATGAATGAAACTAAGAACAAAGAAAGGAACCTTCAAATCTTCTGACAAAACTCTTGCTAAAAAAAATTAAGAGTTTTTAATAATAGAACAGGGTAGAAGATGTGTGAGAAAGGAGAGCATTTAAACTTTCTCACCATGTAAATTACTTGTCAACTCTTAGTCAACTAATTTAGTAGTGTGTGTAGGAGTGAAGGGGGAAAGCCTTTAAAAATAGTTTTGGAAGTTTATAAACACAAACTGATAGTTTGGAAAGTTGCAATAAAATATCTGTGATTTTCCATAAGGAGATGTGGAATGAAGAACATAAAAAATATAAAGAAGCATGGAAAGAACCTAAATGATTAATAGTTTGGAATGTAGAGTATCAGGAGGCAACTATAAAAATAGGTAATTCTTTAGATAGAACTGCAAATTATAAAAAGCATAAAATTTCAATATGGAAAAGAAATGAAGACTTCAATAAAAATAACAAATGGATTTCTGGGAAAAGGTGAGAATACAGTGATTTTTATGATTATAAACATTTCCAAACTGGCAGAGGGTACCATGCTGATTTAACAATAATCACCCACATGGGTAGTATTCAAAATAACGACTAAGGCCTGGCTAAGGCCTGGCGCGGTGGCTCACGCCTGTAATCCTAGCTCTCTGGGAGGCCGAGGCGGGCGGATTGCTCGAGGTCAGGAGTTCCAAACCAGCCTGAGCAAGAGCAAGACGCCGTCTCTACTATAAATAGAAAGAAATTAATTGGCCAACTAATATATATATAAAAAAATTAGCTGGGCATGGTGGTGCATGCCTGTAGTCCCAGCTACTCAGGCGGCTGAGGCAGCAGGATTGCTTGAGCCCAGGAGTTTGAGGTTGCTGTGAGCCAGGCTGACCCCACGGCACTCACCCTAGCCTAGGCAACAAAGCGAGACTCTGTCTCAAAAAAAAAAACAAACAAAAAACAAAATAACGACTAAGATCGTGTTAAGTAATGCTAGATCTTGGACCCAATTCAGCAGACATGAGTGAATGAGATTCTGCTAGATGAAAGTTTCTGAGTACCTCCAAAAGTCTTAATTAGGAACTAATTTTTTTCTTACATTTCAACTTACTCGTTGGGGGCCTTAAAGAACATTTTGGTTTTTTTCGTATGGTGTGGGGGATAGGCTGTCTTAAAAAGGTAAGAATGTAAGCAAGTAGAAGGAACTCATATTGACATAAATGTTCCAAACTCATTTGAAATGTGGTCAGTGTGACTAAAAATAAAATTATTGGGAGGAAATGTGTTCCATAACAATGCAACATTATTATAAAAGTAGTGGTCTTTGTTTTTCAGTTGGAAATAAGTCAGTTTTTAAACATTTTTCTTGGGAAATCTCATTTCTATGCTAAGACCAAGCTACAGTCAACATAAAGAGGAATTAGACGCGATTTGGGGCACAAGTCAAAGCAGGTCTTGAACTCCTACAGCAAACCCAACCTACAAGCTTGAACTAGACCAACGTAGGCCACGAGCTTTAAAGTCCACAGAGCTCAGGTAAGCAGATGGTGAAAGGAAGCTCAAGTCCCTGTGGTACCTCCAAGCACGGAGACACGCTCTTCCCATGGGGGACTAAGTCTGGCGCTGGCCACGCGGATGCAGGACCTGAGAGACAAGCGCAGCCAGGTAGACCACCGTGGGTAGCACAGGCGGACCCGCCGGAGGTCTGGCCTGGCAGCGAGCGGCCGGCCCGCCTGGCTTAGAGGGAGATGCGGATGGGACTAGCCATCGAGACAAGGCGGAAAGAACCACCCCTGCACGCGGGAGGATAACGAGAGCTGCCCGGCCGACGTTACCTCCACCCACTGGGCCGCGGCGTCCCCCTCGGCTGGGCGAACTTGCAGCCGGGCGTGCAGGCACTGCTGCAGGAGCGCGCGGGCCTGAGGCGTCCGGCCTCCGTCGGCCATGGCTCCAGCTCGCGCCCGGGTCCGAAGAGTTCGGGCAGCTCGGCCCCTCAAGCTCCGCCCCCCGGGCGCAGGCAGGAAGGGCGGGGCGGGGCGCGATGGAGGGACCGCCCCGATTGCTTGTGGCCCCGCCCCTAGGACAACAGGGCCTGGATTGACTCTCGAGTGTCCCGGATGTGCAGGCTTCTAAGACATACGTAATGTAATAAGCGCCTCTGCAAAACCTACCCAACTTCTTGGAAGGCGATCGGTGTATATCTTTAGCACATTGACAGCCACACTAGAAATTCTTTTTTTCTTTAGGGCCACAGTGTTTTATTACAAAAATAGAATAAAAACAAAATGATCCTTTGTAATTTCATGAAAAATTTGTCATTTGTTATTGTTCTCTGTGCGTGAGTTGTATGCAACTTGAAAAATAGTTCACCTGAAGAGATAGGAATTACATATGCTCAAAACTAGCGTGAGTTAAATACAACTCACGGAACAGTTAATGTGTTTAAAAGAATGAAAAAAACTAATTAGATCTCTTTCCTACACACTTTTGAGCAAACATTTTTCACCTCAGAAAGCTTAGGTTCCAGCTGCTGAAAATTTTTAAACCTGTTTGATTTACAGTCCATATTATGCCCATTATGAAAATAAGTGAACAGAATGAACCAATCAAATCACAAAGCAAGCAGAGATAGAACTAAAAGCTATACATCTTTCAGATTTTTCTTTACTCCAATCAATAAAACAATGCCACCTCCTCTATCAGAAATGCTATATATAATTCTGATTCCAGTAAAAGTATTGGTGTGCTATGTGAATACGCATTTGGAGATAATTCTTTACAAAATATCTTTGCTAAAAACATTCTTACCTAAGAAAGGCTGATTGTTAATACATTATTTAACCTGCTACTCATACAAAAATAAAACATGTTCTGATGAACATCGTGTTATAAATTCTGTGATGCATTTTCTGAAAGCACATATTAGAATGTAAATAAAATTAAACAAGAGCTTGGTTTTCTTTCCCATGTAACGTATTTCTTGAACATTTATCAGATTAGCATTTATTTTTCTACAGGCTTGGAAGGTTTAGATGAAGAATAATAGTGTTACCCTGATTGTGTTAACCAGGTCATTAATTTTGGCTCAGTTGGCAGAAATGCCTATGCATGCGGGTCTGTCTTCAAGAAAATGACATCACTGACTGTTGCTATCCATACAAAGCAGTGTGACTGAAGAAAGTAATCCATGCATAATCAACAGTCCTTTGTACATGAAATTGAAGCTGCTTGTTTGCTGGTTATCTTGCAGCAAGCCTTACTTCTCCAGTAAAAACAAAAAGCAAAATCTCACATTATCTCTGATTGCTACATTGCAGGAGTTCTAATACTTGTTGACATTTGTCTGCAAAACACAGACAAGTTGAATTGTTTAATGTCTGCACCTTTATGTCATTATAACTATTGAGTCTCTTTTCTCTCTCTCAGACTCAAATTTTATAAGTCTGGAAGAAACATTGATGTAAATATCCTGAGGTATGACTCAGAATAACAAAAGACTTTGGTGTCTGTTTGTATATGGGTGAAGGAGATAGGGAGGTCTATTGAAAATAGGGTATATGGTTTCCAGAGATGTTTTCACAGTGAGGGGGGCTTTAACAAATTGGGAAACCCTTCCTGTGAATAGATGGAGTTTGGTTAATAATGGATAGTGAATTAATTATGGATGGATTCTAGGTCCTCTGAGATAGCATAATAATTGATTTTAGGATTATTTTAAGTTGTTTAATTCATTCAAGTAGGCTGCCCTAAATTCTAACATTCGAAGTATTTCACAAACATGAAAAGTTTGAGAATCACTTCTAAAAAATCCTTTACAGTTCATGCTGAGCTTCCTGATTCAAAGAGAAGAGAATAGAGAAGGGAAATATAATCTGTTTCATAGTTCACAGGATAGGCAGGGCTTTTCCTAAGACTTAGCTCTAAAATGAGCCTCTTACCTGAGGTTTTCTGAAGGGGAAGTGCAACTGGAAGAGGTAGATATTTTATCTCAGGGAAGACTAGATGAAATCTAGCCTCCCACTTCAAAGCCCAGAGATTTATTTTTCATAGCTTAGGGGGATGACCAAGTTCTGAAAAATTGGTTCACATTAACTAAAATGCACATGAGATTGAGATAGAACCACAATCATTTATAATAAGAATTATTGCTGTGACATGGAACAGAAATTCTTACATAGGGAATGATCAGCACATTTCCTCCTATGGTTAAGCATAGGATTCTAGGTCATATTCAGAAGTCTCTTTATTAATTTACTATGAGAAATACTCAACATCTGTATGACCAGCATATTATTTTTATATAGAAAGAGTAATACAGAAATCAGAATGTTGCTTGGTGAGTGAGAAGTCAGAAGAAAGGGGGTGAGAAAAACTGAGTTTTTGTGGAGGACACTAAAAAATGACCCCAAGTACTAACCATAGGAGACAGTGAGAAATATGGTGAACTATGTTGCTATACCAAATATAGTTCAGATTTCCTAGGGCAATTTCTTAAATTATTCCTTTATAAAATCAGAACCCCTTGACAACAACCCCAAAATGAAAGAAAGTCTTTAGAAGTTATATGGTCTAAATATACTGATCTGACAGTCCTACTCTACTAAAGATTAATGTATAAGCTTTGTATACTTCACCCAATCCTAATCAATTTTCTGAGCTGGGCCTTTCAGTTGTGTTGAACAATGGGACAGTTCAACTTTCCGTCCCTATCAAGGGCTTGCAGAGTACAGTACTCTATACTATTGACCCAAGACATTATAATTTAGAGATCAAAAGAACAAATGAGGAAGTTATACTTTTTACTGAAAAGCAAAAGGCCAAATTCGGATATTCATTTGGATGCATAGCTATGCTGGTTCTATATGAAAGTGGATTGAAAAATAGTTCACCCGGCTTGAATAGTTCATCCAAGGATGGAAGGATTTCTGAAGAAGGAATTTTATGTGTAATATAACATATAAATGAAAAATTAGGTTCCTAAAGTTCTGTACAATGGAAGACATAATGTTAGCTTGGAAAAATGTCAAAGCAGCTGTCTTACAGAAAACAGATGGCATACTTTGAAGAGGTGAAGAGAGTTGAATGAAAGGACCATTAACCAGGTATGTGAAACGTAAGGTAAACCAATAGGGGATAGTGAAGGACTAAGGGCTAGCAACAACAGGAAGCAGTTACCATTCTGAAGGGGTAAGAGAAAAGAACGGTTTTCAAGAAGCAGCAGAGCTGTAGCTGAAAGAAACACTTGACAGGACCTGTGACCTTCGACAGAGAAATGTAGCTCCTGCCAAACTGCAGCTTTCCTTCTCCTCCTACCTTTGATTGGCTGCTGTTTCTCCCATTGGCTGAACCCAACTGGGAGTTAGGGAGTAAGGGTTAATTCAGTACAGAAAGAACTGCCTCATGGGACACAGAATAGGATGCAGGGAGTGAAGAGTGAATCTGAAAGGTCATATGGAGAAGATCCCGTGCAGCAACTGCTCTTGGCATTTTTCCACGGCCAGAGGAAAAAAATGCTTATCTCCTACAGGATTATTTAGTTGCAAAATATACCCCTGACCTGTACATTCCTAGTTGTCTAATTACAAGAGGTTATTTTGTGAAACAATTAAATTTTGGGTGATAGCTATGAAAAATAAATAGTTTAAGAATACAGGACAATTCTCTCTTGAGGCCAATCAGCTACTGCTAACAAAACTGTATTTATAAAAGTGAAATTAAGTGTCTGTTTGTTATTGCATCACACCAAAATCTTACAGAATGTTCAGGATAGTCTGATTTGGTCTATGCAAATTTCACTTTGTTTTTTTTTTTTCTTTTTAATTATTTTGTTTCATTTTCTTTTTCTTTTTTCTTTCTTTCTTTCTTTTTTTTTTTTAGTAGAAGCCAGGTACTGAGAATGCAAATTTCACTTTGGAAGGTGTCCAGTACAGTCACCAAGAGACAGTCTTCCACCAGGGTATCTGAAACCAGGATGTGAAAGGCCCATGTGAATTCTGACTTTAAGACATTTGCCACATGCATTAAGACTCTGAGGAAAGAGGAAAGAGATTTAAATAAGAGCTTGAAATCACAAGTGCAAGGGCAAATGCTTCAAACCACAACCATATGTTTTGCCATGGAACTGCTTCTTAACATAGGCAGAGACGGAGGCCACAGGAGTGTCAGTCCTGCTGAAGCCCTTCCATATGAAAATATGAATCCTGGAAAATGTTAGCTGCCACCTAATGGCTGAGTCTGTCCCTAACATGAATAGTTGTACAACCAGGTAGGCAATGGATTATAGTTTGAAACTTGATATTGATTGCTGTTTTGTTCAATTTGCTGTTTTAATCTTATTTTATTTCTGTACATTTGCTAGTGTGTTGCCTAGGTAACATAATATAGCAAGTGCTATTAACTCTAGGGCAATGATGTATATCTTTGGCAGTCTGTACGTTTCCCCAGGGTACATTGATAAATTAGCTTGATCTTTGGGTTATTTTTCAGTTTATAGTGCTGTGATAACTTAGCAATGCATTCTGTGACCTTTTGAATATTTGTATATGTCTATTAGCCCTTTTGCCAAGTCAGGCCAACCTGTTTTAAGCATTGTTTAAAAATAACTTTGGCCCTGTATCCTTTTTAGAAAAAAAATTGTGGAAAATTTTGAGTTGGACAAAAGAGATTTCTGGATATCCTTGCAATGGAATCCTGGAGCCTCTGGGTATTACCTGGTCCTATGGGGGCTATGTAGCAGCAGTTCCCAACCTTTTTGGCACCAGGGACTGGTTTCATGGAAGACAATTTTTCCGTGGACCAGGTGTTGGGTAGATGGTTTCAGGATGATTCAAGTACATTACATTTATCGTGCAGTCAAACCTCTCTGCTCATGATAATTTGTATTTGCAGCCTCTCCCCAGTGCTCGCATCACTTCCTCCGCTCCACCTCAGATCAGCAGGTATTAGATTCTCATAAGGAGTGTGCAACCTAGATCCCTCACATGCACAGTTTCTAATCTAATGCCACTGC